CATTTTTTTTGTAGGTTACTAGCCCGGACCTTTGTGATATATTCTCTTATTTTCCGAGGCTTCTTGGAGATTTGTAAGGTAGTTGTTTGTCAACTCAGCAGACCTTCTTACTCCTGTTTATGATCTTGTTCTACTCTAGAAACAATGTCATATGAGACTTGTATTTTTTCTTTTGATTCAATTGTAATACTTTAGAGGCTTGTACACGTGACAACTAGATTTTGGGGGAATTTTTGAGTTTATTATAAAAAATTCCGCATTTTATTGTAATGGTTGAGTTTTAGGCTGACTTGTGTTGGTGGGTTAAGACGAGTGTCATCACGTCCATTTTTGGGTCGTGACAGTACATGGACTATAAGTTTATATAGTTACTAGTAAATATGCTAGCGCTACATGCAGTGCATTACTCATTTATCAAATAGTACTCCCTCTGTCCCAATTTATATGATTTATTTTCCTTTTTAATCAGTCCAAAAAATAATGACACATTTCCATATTAAGTAACAATTTAACTTTAAAAATATTCATTTTACCTTTAATAAAATGATTTATTCACTTATTCTAGACCACACATTTCAAAAGTCTTTTTTTTCTTAAACTCCATTCGGAATCAAAGTAACTCATATAAAATGTCACATTTTGTTAAGTAGTTTGAGTTGTTATGCGCAAATATATATATTGTTCGTTAGGCAGAGATATTATATACGCATGAATACGCTATTAAGTGTGCAGATACAATATAGTCCAATAATATTATTACGTACGTTGATACATCGTATTTCGCTATTGCTACAGAGATATTAATTGTATATACTTGAGGATACACTTGTTATGCATGTGGAACAAAGCATTTCTCTTACACCCGAATACAAAATGTTATTACATTTCGAAGATATAGAAACTATAGCTATATATTTCATAATTAAAGGCAAAAGTATAGTTACAAAAATTTCTTTTCATTCTTCACCTTGGGCCTTCTATTTCATGATCTTGCTTACTAGATCTACTAGAAGCCCATATACGAGAGGCCCAATTGCACATGTACCAAGATAATTAGTTTTAAAAAAAGAGTAAATTTTAGGTTTAACAAACATAAAAATCATATTTGTATGATATAACTATAGTTTGTATAATTACGCTCCATGGCTATTAATCTGTATATTTCGATATACATATACATAAAAAAATGTGTATTTGGGTCTATTTGTATATTTAAGTATACAAATGTATCCTGCATTTATATATTTCGGTATACAAATGAGTCCTACATTTATATATTTCGGTCTATTTGTATATTTCGATATACAAATGGGATGACAAAAAACATGGAATGTTTGCTGCGAATTACAAATAAAAGAAACTATGGTTATAGCATTTAATTTGAATTAATAATTTGTTATTTCATATAATTTTTCCTTTAAAAAATCTCACTTTTATCTACACCAAATTAAATAATATTTTAACTATAATTAGTTAAAATTTAATAGCAAATACATAGTTCTTAATCATAGTGATAAATGTGAATGAAAAACTCTTATGCTATACTCTCTCTGTCCCTAATTACTTGTCCATTTTTTCTTTTATAGTTGTCCCTAATTACTTGTCCATTTTGACAAATCAAGAAAGGACAAAAATTTTTTACCCATTATACCTTCAATTAAATAATTAATTACTTTAAAAAATGTAGAACTTTTCATCCATTTCATAATTAATAGAGGTAAAATGGTAAACTCACTATGTCATTAATTGTTTTCTTAATAGGTGTATCAATTCAAAAGTGAACAAGTAATTAAGGACAGAGGAAATATATATTAAGTTTGATATAAATATCATATGCGAGTAAGCTTTTACGGTGACATATAAACTCTTCTAGTTGTCCATTTGTAACCCTTTGAAAATTACAAATAATAATAATAATAATAATTTACATATAAACTCATCTAGTTGTCCATTTGTAACCCTTTGAAAATTACAAAAATAATATAATAATTAATAATAATGAGTACGGAAAGATAGACCCTCCCCACGTGTGGAATGGGACCAAATAAATAAATAATTTTTTTTAGGAACATCTTTATCATTCTCTCTGTCATTTTCCTTTGTTAAATCAAACCACACTGACACCATTCACATTGTTCATATATAATAAATTATGATAATGTTCAAAACCACCTTGTTATAATTTGCTATTCATTATAAATTCGGGCATGGAATTTTTAAAAAATTTAAATTTACATATTTAGTAAATTTGTGAAAAGTACTATTAGTCATAATAATTGACAATTCAAAATATTTAAAAGATATATAAAAAGTTCTGGTAAATTTTTTTGTTTAAATGTCAAAATCTAAAATGTATCACATAAATTAGGAGAGTAGGAATAAATGATTACCTTTACCCTCTTTTGATTATGGACTAAATATTGCCCTTTGTCACTAACAACTCCATTTTGAACCTCAATTTATGTTAATTAAATTCACAAAAATGTCACTTCACAATTAATTAAAAAATATATTATTTTTTTCAAACTTGAGGTGGGGTTTCACATTTTAAAATGGAGTTGACAGAGAGAGGAGGAGGAGGAAAAATAGTTAATTTTGGAAACTGTTTTATTTCTTTTCAGAAGAAACTAATTTTGTCTTTGAGTACAACTTTTAAATTATTTTGCCAGCAAATCAATTTGTAAAAAATAGTAAAATTGTGGTCCTTATAAGTACTCATAACAGTCCTAGAAATGGTAGTAATGTATTTCTTTTTTATGGTTACATGTTTGGCATAATAGAAGTAATTGATTGATGTGGTAATTTAATATGACACTTCCAATTTTTCAAGAGATTCCTTTTTATTAATTTTTATTTTATATATCTTGTTTGAAATTTTACTTTAGCTATTACAAGGTATAAATGTTGTGTGTGGTAAATTTATTTTCATGTCTATGTTGATATTTCTTGTGTGTGCAATGGAGATAGATAGAATTTGATTTCGAGTTCAGACTTTGAAAATTGAGAACATTTGTCTTTTCTCTTTTTATGAAAGATTTCGAGTATGAAAAGAGTTAGGGTGCGTTTATAAGATTTATGGTGATGTTGATATATTATAATAGAAATTTAATTTTTCTTTTCTTTTTCTTTTAAATAATATGTGAGTAATTCGTTATTGAGAGTATATAATTAAAAAAAGTTTGAAAGACTAAAACAACACTAGAAAATAGGATAAATTTGACAAATAATTACTTTTAACTCTTATAATTGAAAATAATTACTTTCATGTATTTCAAATTCTACTGGTAATTAAAACTTCTAAATTATTATCAATAAAATTTAAAATTTCATTACAATAATTATTTTTCAAAAATAAAAGGGTCCATGAAAGAAAAAGAAGTAGTACATGACACTGAAATAAGGATAGTTGTTATTATTGTGAGAAAGTTGGGCCAATTTTTATGAACTGTATTCAATAGTACTCAATAAGACTTTTGTAACTTATTGCTTCTATATAATCTTGTTGAATCATATAATTGTACTTCCTACTTTATAACCAATCTTTTTGAATTGCCTAACAATCAAAGTGTAATATTACACATTGTGGACTAAGGTGGCCTAAATTTAGGTCATAGACCTCATTCCAAACTAACATGGGAAAATTATGTGGTTTAATTAACTCAACCCTTTAATAACTTTTTATAGTAGTAGTTTAAAGAACATTACATAATGTAGCAACAATTTAAAGTTGTATACAATTGAATAAATAGACACATTCGTCCTACGTGATAGTTTTCTGTCCTATGTGGCGTCTTACGTGTATTATGTCACGTAGGATGTGTGTGTTTACTTGTTCAAATTTATACGAGTTAAAGTGTCTACTTGTGCACATCCAAAATTAAAGAGCATAAATGCCAGCTAAAGCGAAGTTAAAGAGCAAATTTATGTTTAGGCAAATATATTGAAAACATATGGATACAATCAATATTTTTGTAGATATAATAAGCAGAGATATTATATATGTGTGAATATACTTATTATAATCCGTATAGATACAGTTCGACATGGATGTTATGTACATGCAGATTCATTTTTATAATTTATCCCACCCTAGATATTCGTGTGGATTCACTTATTTTGGGCGCTAAGATAATGTATTTCATTATTATTATTATGCGTGAGGATGCAATTTTACTACGGAGATACTGTATATTCATATATACACTCATTATGGGTGGGACACAATGTATTTACTATTGTAATGCGTATAGATACAAGGTATTTCGCTATCAACATATAATATACACCCAAATACATTTATTATGTGCACATATACAGAGTAAGACAAGTATTTCTATCACATTGATGACTAGGGAAATATCAATAGACAAGAAAGTGTATTTCACCATTATTATATGCACAGATACAATATATTTCACTATTATTATGCACACAAATACACAATATTCCGCTATCAAAATATTATATATATGCGCACAAATACAAAGTAAGGCAGTTTTTTCTATCAAAATATTGACTAGCTAGGAGAAATCTCAATAGACAAAGAAGTGTATTTTCCTATTATTATGTGTGCTGATACCATATATTCTACCACGTATGTTTTGAATCATTCTCTCCTCTTGCTCGATGAACCAACTTCAAGCCTTGATTCATCAAATCAAAATGAGTTTCATGATATAAATAAAGTGTCGCTATTTCTCTTTAAAAGTTTGAATGCAAATAGCGTTATTTACGAAAATTCTTCTATCTACGTGTGAAGAAAATCCTTAAAAAGTTCAAAACTCATCAAACTTTAAAATTTAAATTCGTCTATATCCTCCACCCATATTACAGATTGATGGGGGAGGCAACATGGTAATGACAGAGTCAAGATTTTACTAAGAGAATTCAATCAATGAAAAAAAAAAAATACGAACAAGCAGAAGAGATTCATAACTTTTCACAGAAACGATTCGACTAAACCCCTCGACCATACTTAGTGGTGGGGGGAGGGGGTAGGGAGCAGGGGTGGAGGCAACATATATTTAGGGGGT